TCTGAGGGTAAGAATTCAAATTTTCTTCTCGTGTCCAAGGATGCTCAAATGTATCATCTTCGTGCCATTTTCCTTCGAATCCAGTAAAAGAATCTTCTGGTTTCTGATGCGGTCTCCATCCTCTTCCACGTCCTTCAGCTAGAAAGTCACCAGGAAGACGATTTCCTTGTATCATCTGAGGGTAAGAATTCCTCGCAGGCTCATTGTAGGGTACACCTTGTGAGTATGTCAGCATATGCTGAGAACTATTAACTTGTCCTCTTCCTAATGAATATGTTTGAGGTGGCGGCTTAGGAGCATTTTCTGAGGTGTGTATACTCATGTTTGAGGCGCATGATCTGTAGTCAAAAGGCCTGTAACATGAATTTTCACAAGAAGGTTTATCTTGTGTATATTTTTCACTGTCCATTTTTCAAGCAACAGATCTTTTGGAATTCTTCCAACCACGATGCCTGTGAAAATATCTTTGCTTGTAGTGTTCAGAATTTCTAGGTACTGGTGATACAGCCCTATGGAAACAAATACAGAAAAATTTAATTCACTTGAAGACGATATATTAAGTGTATCTTAATATGGCCTACCTAAAACAGGTACTTTTCCTGAAGTTCCACCGGATCATCTAATCATAAAATTAATCAATGTTGCTATATGTGCATTCTAAATTATACATTGAATATTTTATTATGGTACTGCTCAATTCAACAACCATTCTCTCCATCTGAAATAATGTTTTCTATGTGTCTATCAAAATAAGTTGAATCCATACTTTGATTTTCGACAAGGGAACTAAGTCCATTCAGTGAGTTGAAAAGTCTCTAGAAGAAACGGTGCTGGATGTGCTTTACACAATTGATGTATGTATGGATTGTGATAAGAGTTGTATGAGTCCCCAATAAAATGATTTTTTTTTTAAAAAAGAAAGAAACGGTGCTGGAATAACTGTTATTGCCACAGCCAGAAAAATAATGTTTGCCCAATACCATATAAACATTAACTCAAAGAATATCAAGGACCTAAATGTAAAAACTAAAACCATAAAGCTCTTAGAAAAACGCATAGAGGTAATGTTTTCGGATATAGTTTTGATGGTGGGTTCTTACATGTGACACCAAAAGGACAAGCAACAGCAGGCAAAATAGACAAATGGAACTTCATCAAAATAACAACGTTGTGACGCTGCGCTCTCAGGGGTTTTTCGTTCAGTGAATTCTAAGAGCTGACACACACACATCACCCGGGTACCCCACCAAGGTGGGGACGGTGGGGAATAAAGAGGAGCTGATACCAAGGGCTCAGGTAGAAAGAAAATGTTTTGGAAATACTGATGGCCAACGTATGTACAGGTGTGCCCAATATAATTGTATGATGATTGTTATACGATTTTTAAGAGTCCCCCAATAAAATGATTGATAAAAACAAATAAAGGCATTGTACACCAAAGCACATCATCAACAAAGGGAATAGCCACCCTTCAGATGACTGGGAAAAAAAAATTGAGAGAAATTCAAGGAGGCTTGTTTTTCTCCTGAGGAGCAGCTGTGGTTTCAAACAGCTCAAGAAATATATAAAAGCAGCCCCCTCTCCCACTTCAGGCCAAATAAACCAGAGTTTGAAGACCCCTGCGTTAAAGAGCTTAGAATATTGCCTAGAACATCATTCACTGCCATCAAGCCAAGCGCAGCTCACAGCAACCCTAGGACAGAGTAGAACTGACCCTGTGGGTTTCCAAGACTGTCTCTTTATAGGAATAGAAAGTCTCATCTTTCTCCTGAGGAACGGCTGGTGTTTTTCAGTCGCAGACCTTGCAGTTAGTAGCCTAAAGTGTAACCCACTATTGCCACCAGGGCTACTTGCAACTGCTAAATAAACACTCAAGTGCTCGCATCTTGCATGTAGATACGTATATGGTATATTAGGTTTTCTAAGCTATTGAATAATCAGAATTAGAACTCCTAATTACAATATTCAGTTGTTGGCTAATATTCTACACGATAAACATATAATCACTTAACTTTTCTGGAACAATTAATGCCCAGTAAGTAAATTTTCAAAAGTACTTCTAAACTTGGTTTCTCAAATATTCTTTAGTCTTCTTTTTAAAAGACACCTTATAAAACTTAACAAAATGCAGAACACAAATTCAAATTCTCACAGACTCTAGGCTTTCTAAGCCCTGTGGGTAAAGGAACTCCAGAAACTATTGCCCCAAGATCATCTTTAAACTTTAAACCAAAAATTGCCCTGAAGCCTTCCATTAAAGCTAAACTGGTTAATTGATGAGTAAAGAATGTCTGCTTTGGGCACTGTACTATTTTAAGAACTACTGGGGATCAAACTGACAATAGCAACTAGAAAGATTTGACAAGAACAAGAACCTTAGGGAACAGTGAGTTTACGTTAATGAGGGAGGAACATCTCAGAAAAGGAGGATGCAAATGAGTGCATAACTTGTAGGATGTAATCCATGCCATTACATTTTATATGCAGGAACTGTTGAATTAGTGTGTTTTTCTGTGTACATTCTAAGAGACAACAAAATGTGTAATTTCCAGGAAAACATTCAGTAATAGCTCTAGCAAAGCCCAGTGCTGGACAGACGACGCTGAGGGGAAGTGACACCAAATAATCACGTATCGCACCATTCAAAGACACTTTTTGGGCAGCTTCTCCCAGGCATGGTGGCCATCCAACTACAATTTATTTCATCTATTCTGACCAAGGGCACACTTGTAAATTAATTTCTCTTTAGCCCCAAACAAAAACACAAACCTGATAGTTTTAAGCACTGATTTTTTTCAAAATACGCAATTATGGTAAAATTTTCTATCCCACTGACATGCAGTTAACTCAAACTCATATCCACCCTATATAGAGTTTGGGGGACTGTAAATCTTTACAGGAGCAGCTGGTGGCTTTGTGGTTAGCAGGCCCACATCTGATAGCCCACAGAGCCCCCTTAAACTTTTCTATCTTATTATTTACAACCTTGTCAGTTCTTGACATTATAAAATTGTTCTCAGCTTATGGATCCAAACTCCTGATGACTTTCAAAATTTTTGCCAGAGTTGCATGAATCATAAGCCTCCATGCACAGATTAGAGAACAAATGAGTATACGCCTCACACAGCATAAACTTAAAAACTTCTGAAAATACTGTAGATTAATAAAATGTAAATGGATTTTTGTCCATGTACATATGGAAATGTTTTCCCGTCAACCAACACAAAAAGTGCAACTACTACTATACGGACATCAGCTAAAATGGAGAGTCTTCATCCTCAAAACATTTACAGAAATTCCATTATCATTTCATTCCATTTTCCCACCAAGTTTGTGAAGCCTCCTTGAATTTAATTAGGAAGCAGTATCCAAAATATATTTTTAAAAACCTTTTCAACTCAACAATGCAAAGACAAGCTAATTTTAAAAAAGCGAAGGATATAGTTATTTCTCCTAAGAAGATATACAAACGGACAATAAGCACATAAGAGATGCTCAACCCTCAATAGTTATGGGGTGGGAGGGTGAGAAGGACATATCAAAACCATAAGCTACTACTTCCAAACCACTAGGATGACAATAATAAAAAAGAAAGCTTTTAACAAGGTATTGATAAGGATGTAAGGAAATTGGAACTCTCATTTATTGCTTGCAGGAATGTAAAAATGGTACAGCCATTTCAGAAAACAGTTCTGGCCTTCTTAATTGGTTAAACATAAAAACTAACATGTGATCCAGCAATTCCATGACTAGGTATGCACACACAAAAATGTATATGTGAATGTTCATAGAAGCATTATTAATAATGCTAAAAAGTGGAACTCAACTGAGAAAATGGATAAACACAAGATGGTATATTCATACAATAGAATGGAAAACTAGGCTGTAAAAAGCAATGGCATACTAATATGTGCTACAGCATGGATGAGCCTTAAAAAAAAACATTTTACGAAGTTAAAAAGATCATATCAGGCAAATCCACCAAAACACAAAGTAGATTAGCAGATGTCTGGGCTGACTGGTAGGTGCCCGGGCTAGAAGGGTCGGGAGGAAAATGGGAAGCAAAAGCTCAAGGGCACAAGGATGAAAATGTTCTAAAACTGACTCCAGCAATGGTTGCACAGCTCTTGGAATGTACTAAAATCCACTAACTTGTACTCTTTAAATGGGTGAATTATAAAGTATGTGAATTATTTATCAATAGTGCTGTTATTACAACAGCAGCAACAACAAAGACCCACTGACAGATTCCATACTGCAAGTGAACCCTGTATTTACAAATATAAGGAATAAGAACTCCCCAGGACAGCCTTTGCAGCAGAACGGGCAAGTCTAGCACAGAACTGCACCTGGTTAGAGTCCACAGGGAAAGTGATCAGGAGAGGGGAGAGAAGGGAAGCCAGACCAGGAGGAGAGCAGAGCATGGATAATTCTCTTGGCCATTGGGATGGGTATTACCCCAGTTGTTCAGTAAGGTGCCATGGAGGTGCTGTGGGTTAAGTGGTGGGCTGCTCATCCCCAGGTCTTTGGTTCACACCCACCAACTAACTAACTGCTCCCTTAGAGAAAGGTGAGGCTTTTTGCTCCCATCAAGACTCACAGCATTGGAAATCCACAAGGGCAGTTGCCCTGTGTGATAGGGCCACTATGAGTCAGAATTCACTCAATGGCACTGAGGTTTTTATCTTTCGAGAAACTTGGGTTTTTGTTTAAGGAGGTGAAAATAAGTAGCAGAAACCCACTGTTTCCTAAGATTACCCTACTCTGATTATATGAATATGATGCATGAGAAGGCTTCAAAAATGTTCGCCAAAAAAAAATCCATTAACTTTCTTTCCATTTTGCCACAAAATTTTTGAAGTCCCCTCATGTCTCTCTCACACACCCATAATGGTTAAATAAGAAAATGGGAGTAAAAGGGCATTTTTAAAGGTTTAAGTACAAAGGTAACTACTAGCACAAAAATACAACCTTCCTAAATGTGTGTGTGATTTTTTAATAGCAAAAAGCACATGTTTTATATCAAAAGCAAAAAGGATACATCTCATAGAGAAAGAAAGAGTAAGTATGGCAAAATATACCTAATTATACAAAGTGCCTCAGAAAGGTTACACATAACAGGATGGACAAAATTATACCCGGTAAATGGAATGTAAAAGAGCAGCAGAATTCAAAGCCCCAAAGCATTAACCTTGAGGGCACTTGTTAGTGCCTTCACAATGAAGAGCAGATGAATATTCTTATTTGTATAAAATAACACAATAATCACCATTACAAAGCAAACTTTGTTATTGAATTCAAGGAAACATAGCTAGAAGCACA